CATCATGCAACAAACAATCACCTGCGCCCCATGCGGTTCCACGTAGAACTTGGTGTTGCCCTCAAGCTGCTTCATCTCCACATATTTGTCCAAGCTCGCATACACGTCCTTGCACCCCTTCACATCCAGCACCAAGCCTGCACAGCATAAAAACGACCAGAAACCAAATTATAGACTTAGAAGGACACAACCAAAAACAGAGAGTTGTAGAGACCAGTTTCAAAAAGCACAAGGAATAACGCTCATGCTCACCACCACTCACCATCAAATGCTTGCTTCCAGGAGGACTTGTGGTCTACATTGATGCACTCAACGTAGTTCATGAGATGACCACCAAACAGCTTCTCCATCGTGCCATCCACAGATGAGTCCTTCATCTCCGCCTCCAGTTTCATACGCAACATCCGGTACACCACCCTCGGGTCATGCTTCTTTGACAAGTCTCCATCCTCCCATTTGACCCTCTTAGTTAAGTTCTTGGTGGAAACACTAGAATCGGTGAACTGGAGCCTGTAGAATATGCCTTGCAGCACTAAGAGAATGCTGCCAGCATGAAGGTCGCTCTCAGAAGCAGAAAAACGATACACGGCTTTCCGGAAGAAGGGGATGTGGAACAGCATCTGTATCAACGGGGCCAAACAGTTCAGCCCCCCTTGGTTATTAAGCCCCACGTATCCAGTCTGAATCTTTGATTTATTGCACACTTTAACCTCGGCTTCAAAAATCACTGTGTCGTTAACGAGGAAGCCTTTAGAAAGATCGTTGAGCTCCTCGCGTGGCATGATGGAAGGCCAGCCCCACTCGTATCCGCGTGCAACAGCTTGCTCGTTTCTAGGAATCACGTGAGATAAGATGGAAAAGCGGAGAGGGAGGAAGCTTATGAACTCCAGCAAACTCCAGCCTGTCAAGAAGATTGAACTGTGCCCACGAGAAGTAGGATGATTTTCTAGGCGCCTCGAAAATCACTCAGATTGACGCAAGTCAACCGATGACCTATACGATTGCGCTCCGCATGCCTTGTACCATTCTCCACTCCCCACAAAAACCCATTCATCTCAACCCCCTCCTCATCCCTTTTGTGCTTTGCTCACCCATACATACCTTCCCGCACTGACTTCGTCCGGTCAAACTGGTTGACGACAGTCAACACATAGTCCACGCGCTTGGTCCAACCGGGCTGTAGAGTTGCAGCATTTGCCATTCCAAGGAACAACGACAAGTTTTCTGACTTCTGGCTCCCCTCCAGGTACACCAGAACCCGCCTGGACAGAGAACGGAAGGTGGGCAATCGTTGAGAAAGATGACGACAGTTAGGAGGTGAGGGGAAGGGGAGGAAGGAATAAGATATCCTATGAGGGGATGCAGACGCAGCGAGCGGAATCGAATAGAATCTGATGATGTCCTTGACTTAGAAGGGAGGAGGGGGCAGGAACATGAAATTGCAAAGAAACGTGCACATCAAAACCTCTGCAAGCAACCGCTTGAAAAGGGAAGAGACAAGAAGTTGGGATTTAAGCTGAAAAAGTTAGATGATAGCTGACGTGCATTTGGGGGAATGGGAAGGCAGGGAAACATTGCGAGTTTTGGAGGGTTGTGCCAAGAATAAGTCAGGAGTGAGGATGACCAGGGAAGAAGCTATGGGGTGCAGGTAACCTTTTGTATCTGCAAAGTCTGCCAGCAAGTGCCTGAACAGCGACCAACACGAGCACACACCAGGTGTACCCCCCAACCAGGAAGGTGTTGGAGTAAACTCTCTGCTCTGTCAGCATGGAAAAGTCATCAATCTGCCACCGGAAAGTTCCCGACAAGGTATCGACTGCAGCAGAGGGAGTTCAGCAGGGCACGGTAAGGTGGTGAGGGAAAGAATGCAGAAGAGCAGGAGGTTGCGTGCGGTTAACAGCTGCTGCTTGAGACACGAGCCGCACATGAGACAAGGCGACAGTTAAGGATACTGGAAAGAGGCTGCTGTTGAGAATTATGAAACAACACCTGCATGAACAAGCCGACTGTCAATCCAACCACCCTTTAGCTTGCAAGGGCCCAGCATGCTTACCTTCCATAGTGTCCAGTGTCCACACTGCTTTCAGCCTTTTAGGATCTCAGCTCTTTCACGCCCTCCACCTTCTGGCCTGCGCTTGCGCGGATCCAAGAGAGATAAAACGATATGACAAGGGAAAGCTGAGAGAAGGAGAAGGGCGACTAACAAATGGGTGACAGCAACTGAGACTCGTACTGGAATGGGATTCTAAGGGAGAACTGCAAGAAATGGGAAAAAAACAATGGTCAAACGTTGTTCGCGAATTCCTTCACAGCAACATCTACGCAAACCTAAGAATTTAGATGATGATCACACATGCATACAGAAGACGCGGCATTCCATGATAAGAGCCACCTAAAAGACCTTCCAGCGGCGGCAACATCGAGGTCACAGGCATTTACCCACCCACCACCATTCTCACCGTCGCTGTTAGTACTCAATCGGACGCTTGTCACGGAAGCAGCGTTGCGGCAACCTGGAGACCGGGTGCCCTTGGAGATCTGGTGCCCTTGGAGATCTGGTGCCCTTGGAGATCGGCGGGTCACTTGTGCCGTGCGGACTACGGATGATTCGGATCTAATGCGCGTTGCTGTACGGGGAAAACGGAAAGGTAGGAATCCGATCGGAATCGTTACGATGGTGCTAAGAAAACTGGGTGAGGCGGGAGTAAGATCTGTTAGGAGAAAGACAAAAAAATACCCCTTCTCCTAACACAAGGATTCTTTGCGTGATGACAGCAGGGGATGAGAAGGAACGCACGCCATTCAGAATGCTAAACGAATGACAACCACTTGGTGTCGAGGGACGACTTCCTAGCCAGGTGTCAGAATAAGAATACAGGTCGGATTGCTCAAGTCCATGCGGCTTCACCGAGCTATGATAAACACTCGAGTCGCTCCACAAATGGTATCGCAAACTTCTTCTCTCGTTTTCACTATTACCTAGTGGCCATCGCGCAGGGCCGCAGGGGAGTCTCCAACCAACGCGACGCGACTGCAGCTGCATGAGAAAGTGGCGTCGCATAGAGAAGCACATGTCGCGCAGGGGCATGTATGACGCATCGTGCATCGTGCATGATGCATCGCAACGACGCTCGCTCCATCCGACAGTGTAAAGAGAGGATTAAAGCTCAAGGCCCAAATTGTTCAACCTTAGTAAGGTTGACCTTTGGGTAGCGTGAGAGGAAGGTTGACTTGTTTGAAGTTGGTGTGTTTAGTTTCGCGCAGCTTCTCGCTACACAGTCAGAATTTTCGCTGACTCAGCAAACCCCAGGAAGCAACTCGGTTCTGGTTCTCGAGTCCCAAATTGCACTCACAATATTCTTGGTGTTTCCTGCTTTCCGATTCGTCCAAAAATTGATGGCCAATCAAATTGCATCGCACTTCTCGTAACCACAATTCGCAACCAAAACAACACTCAGAAAGCACTCCGATCAACTTTAGTAAGCTTGTCCCGCGCGCTCTGCAATTTGGGCCTTGAGCTTTAACGATAAGAACGACGAGGGCAAAGCCCTAACGGTGCAGCGAGACTTGCAGGTGACGCGGCGCGTGGTGCAAACATATCTGTCCCTGATGATGTACAGAGCCCTTGGGAAGTCTCAGATGAATTCACTTCGTTTCCGTGTGATGTGATAGTATACGTTTAAATAGCTTTCTTATGTTTGGTAGAGATTAGAGCAAAAAGCAACCACGTCCTTTTGATTGGTGGGAACCACAAAAACATCATCCGCACATACACATTCACCATGTCACTCACGTTTGTCATGGTCAGCGTGTGCTCGTTGTAAGCACCCCTGAAACAATTGCAGTTTGTCAGTGTCTATATATGCGATACGGTACGATGGCTTGTTTCAATGTTGAAACACCATAGGCATTTCGTTCCAGGCCACAAAAAATTGTGGGAGTCCTAGCTAGAAGTGAAAGTTAATACGACGAGGGACCTTTTAACTTGTTATCCCCCGAAACACGTACGGTACCGTAAGTACATAGCCACTCGAGCCCATTTTCATGACAGCTCCATACCCATCTGAAGCACACAGCTCATTAGCACACTAACATGCGTTACAGGCACAGCGCAGTACAGCAATCCACTTCATTGCCAATGCAGCGTGCGTTCCCTCACAATAGTCTGCTTCATACCCTTACCAACCCTGCTGCTGCTGGTGTTGCACCTGCTGCTACTGTTGGTGCTGCACTGCTGCTACTGTTGGTGCTACTGTTGGTGCTACTGTTGGTGCTACTGTTGGTGCTACTGTTGGTGTTGCACGTGCTGCTGTTGCCGCTTCTCCGAGTACGCACCTCCCGTCACAGCTGCCCACGCCTCCACGACTCAGCCCACCAACTGCGAAATGCTTCCCACCATCCCTTCGTCTCAGAAGCCATGCTATGCCTCTTGCAGTGACAACCTGCTAAGCAAGCCCTCTCACTCCAACAGCATCCCTTCTGCTTCCCCACCTCGTCCACAGCAGCACACGCCTCCACAGTTGGACTTATGAGTCGAGCCATGCCTCATGGTGCCAGGAGATTTGCCCTCCCACTCCAACAGTGCTCCCTTCTGTTACACTAATGGAACTCACCCCAGCACCTTCCACTGCACTCAGCAGCTTCGTCCGCATTCCCTGCAGGCACAGCAGATTGCTGCTTCGGCCACACACCTCCTGCTCTCGGCAACGCCTCCCGCATGGCCTTAACTATCACACGCCGGCACAATTTGCCCCATGAGCCATGCCATGCCTCGCACCGTGAACAGCCCTCCCTCTCCCACTGTAGTCCCTTCCACTTTACACATAAAGCTCAGCAGCTCCGTTCCCAAGCCCTGCCGGCACAGCGGACCATTGTGCCATATGGGTGTAATATATGATCCAACCAACATATGCTTGCAAAGTTTCCTCCACGGGGAAAATAGTGTGCGTTTCCATGCATGTGCCTCTCACTCATGTGGGTGTAATATATGGTCCGGCCTTATGCCATCCTCACTGTCCATTATCCATCCGGTCGTCCCGTCGCGCTGCCTCTCCCCATTGCTCCTATTTCCCAGCCATTCCCCTCCCAGCCCTCACCTCACCCCATCTTCCCCTGCATCGCCTATCAATCCTCCACCGCCCTCGGTTCTATCTCTTGTTATTCCAATCCTTGTTCGCCCCACGTCCTTCTTCCTCTCCCCATCGCCACTGCTCCGCGCAGGCATCCCCCTTCGCACCCCTCGCTCCTTTCCCAGCCATCGCCTTTCTCCCATCTGGCAGCCTCATCGGCGGTCTCCCTGCTGCTCTCCTCTCCCATGTATGCGTCCCCTCGCCTTTTTGTAGCTTCTCCTCTTCTTGCGCGCGCTCTGTCTCCCCTCGCCTCTCGCTGCCTTTACTCCCCTCTCATGTGCTGCCCAGTTCCCACAATCCCGCCCCTCTACACCTTTGCACCTCGCCCTTTGCCGTCCGCATGTGCTGTCCTGTGCTTCCCGTGTTTATGCCACCCCTGATTAAGTGCCGCAACAGCAGCCTGGCGTTTCCCATGCATATAACGTCCAACCGATGTGCTTATCTTGACGTCCTTGTCTTCCCCCACCTAAACCCTTTTTCACGACTTGATTTGAAGCATCTCGTCACAGTTTCGTCCCCCGTCTCCCAGACCCGATTCTCCTTCCTTCCACTGCCCGTCCTTCTCCCTTCCACTCCCCGTCCTTCTCCCTTCCACTCCCCGCCCTTCTCCCTTCCACTCCCCGCCCTTCTCCCTTCCACTCCCCGCCCTTCTCCCTTCCACTCCCCGCCCTTCTCCCTTCCACTCCCCGCCCTTCTCCCTTCCACTCCCCGCCCTTCTCCCTTCCACTCCCCGCCCTTCTCCCTTCCACTCCCCGCCCTTCTCCCTTCCACTCCCCGCCCTTCTCCCTTCCACTCCCCGCCCTTCTCCCTTCCACTCCCCGCCCTTCTCCCTTCCACTCCCCGCCCTTCTCCCTTCCACTCCCCGCCCTTCTCCCTTCCACTCCCCGCCCTTCTCCCTTCCACTCCCCGCCCTTCTCCCTTCCACTCCCCGCCCTTCTCCCTTCCACTCCCCGCCCTTCTCCCTTCCACTCCCCGCCCTTCTCCCTTCCACTCCCCGCCCTTCTCCCTTCCACTCCCCGCCCTTCTCCCTTCCACTCCCCGCCCTTCTCCCTTCCACTCCCCCCCTTCTCCCTTCCACTCCCCGCCCTTCTCCCTTCCACTCCCCGCCCTTCTCCCTTCCACTCCCCGCCCTTCTCCCTTCCACTCCCCGCCCTTCTCCCTTCCACTCCCCGCCCTTCTCCCTTCCACTCCCCGCCCTTCTCCCTTCCACTCCCCGCCCTTCTCCCTTCCACTCCCCGCCCTTCTCCCTTCCACTGTCGTCGCACGACTCACCTCCTCTCTTCCCACCCCGTCTCACCTCGCAGCTGGCGTGTCTGAAACACGCCAAGTAACATTCGCGAAAGTCGAGCTCGTACGAGGTGGACGGCACGCCGTTCGCCATCCAGTACGGTACCAGCGCCATGAAGGGCTTTCAGTGTAAGGACCACGTGACTATCGACAACGTGACTATAACGGGGCAGACCTTCGCGGAGGCCACCAGCGAGCCGGGCCTCGCGTTCTTCGCGGCGAAATTCGACGGGATCATGGGGCTGGGCTTTAAGGAGATCTCCGTGAGCGGCATCGACGCCGTGGTACAACATGGTGGGGCAGGGGCTGGTGCCCGAGCCCATGTTCTCGATTTGGGTTCAACCGGGACCTGACAGCGGAGATAGCCGCGTAGGTTGTGTTCGGCGGATTGGACGAGGCGCATTACAAGAGCGCGCATGTGTGGTCGCCCGTCAACAGGCGCGGGTACTGGAAGGTGCGCTGGGGGGATGGCAGGTGGTGGGGGGATCGGGGGGGACGAGGTGTGACGAGGGGTGCGTGCGGAGGCATGGCGAGGCATAGAGAGGGGTGGCATGGCATGCAGAAGACTTGGGATCGAGTAACGCTCGTGCCTCGACTGAACCATCCATGCACACCACTTTACCCTCTCATCCGTGCGTGTGCGTATGCGTGTGCGTGCGCGTGTGTGCGCGTGTTTGAGTATGTGTTTGTGCGTATGCGTGCGTATGCGTGTGCGTGCGGTGCGCGTGCGCGCGAGCGCGCGTGCGTGCGTGCGTGCGTGCGTGCGTGCGTGCGTGCTGTGTGTGTGTGTGTGTGTGTGTGTGTATGTGTGTGTGTGTGTGTGTGTGTGTGTGTGCGTGTGCATGCGCGCGCGTGTGCGTGAATCCGCTTTTCTTTGTGGTGGTCAACGGCTCTAACGAACTTCAAACAAATCCCGTAGCATGCCGTCACGTCATGTCATGCTCAGGAAGAAGATGTTCATGCCAATAAAACATGTGCAAGGCGGGGATTCCCTCGCGATCGACCCCCTCGACCCGTATCTGACACTTATCTGCTGCTACATGTGTAGCAATAAAGTCGGGCAGGTGCTGCTTGTTCCCATGGCCGAATCCGTGTCCTGAGGGGGCATGGATGAAGCGATGCTTGAGGCGCATCCGGGTTTGCTCCACAAGGTGCACCACCAAGGTCACGCCCACCTGCGACACACATTAGTCACTTTAGAAATTGTTCTTAGTTCTGGTGTGGTTCCATACATGCAACCCACCTAAACCCAAGTGTTACTAACATCTCGTTGCTAGAACCGTCGGTTGAGCTGATTCAGCTCGGCCATGATGTTTGCCGACACCCGGACTAGAAATTGAGATATGAACGAGGTCACCACATCGTACAAAGTTGGCCCTTGGTTCTTCAACAAAACGATTGCAGCAGAGAGCACTTCGAGTAGACGCGTTACCGCTTCCCCACACGACAGCCACCGCAGGCAGAGGGGGAGGAGGAGGAGGAGGAGGAGGAGGAGGAGGAGGAGGAGGAGGAGGAGGAGGAGGAGGAGGAGGAGGAGGAGGCGCTGCAGGCCGAGGGAGTCAGAGAGGTCGGCGTGGCACTGGGCTGGAGATGCTGTATGCAGACACCACCTGCTGCCGTGGGGTTGCAGCCCTGGCCGATTGGCTTGTGGAGCCGGAAAACACGCGCAAGCTCGCCTGGGGGGTCCCAGACTTCGAAGCGCAGGAGCCCTCTACTGCTAGTGCTGATGAAGATGAGGGCGTGACTGTCAGAAACTGAATTGTGTGTTGCATTGATATGGGTTGGGGTACATATGCCTAACCCTAACATTTGTACCCCACAAGACAAGCCTCACTACAGGCTACAACATTTGACACACCCCCATAGCCTAAGTGAGGTATGTCAAGCAAAAAAACCAAAAGAGTACGGTCACAAGACCAGTCACAAAGAAACAAAGCTCAGGGCGGATCACAATGTAACCACACATTCCGAGCACAAGCAGAATGGCCACAAGGCCAGTTCAAGAGTTTACAGGTGTATAAGCAATGGGTACAACAAAAACTAGCAACGTCTACACAAGACGAGAACAAGTGTTAAGGAGACCTAACTGCACACAACACCTGTGGTGGTCACAAGGCGGAAGCGCCTTGGCGAAGATGTCTGCAGTGTTGGCCTCGGACTCCACAAAGTCCAAGCGAGCCTGTCCACGCCTCTGCAACTCTTGTAGGAGAAAGTACCTGACGTTGATGTGCTTCACTCTGCTCTCCAGTCGAGGCTCCCGACAGAGAAGAATCGCCGCCTTGTTGTCAGTGAACAAGGTCGGTGCAGAGCTCGGCCGCTCACCAAGGTCTGTGAGCAAGAAAGTCAACCAACGCAGCTCCTGTGCAGCCATGGCTCCGGCGTAGATCTCAACCTCATCGGTAGAGGTCGAGACCGAGGAGGAGCGCGTGGACCTCCACGAAACAGCTCCAGAGCCCAGACTGAAACAGTAACCCTGAGTAGACCTGTGGGTCTCGGCGCCGTCAGCGTAAGAGTCACAGTGACCAAGTAAGGACGAGCGGCTTTATCCCTCCAAGTACCAACCCCATGCCTGATGTCATCGCTAGGTACTTCGCCACCCTCACAGCAGCGGTCCAGTGAATAGGACGATGTCTCCTTGGCGCAACAAAGCGAGCAAGGATGCTCAGAGGGTAGGCGAGGTCCGGGCGAGTATAAGTCATCAGGTACATGAGGCAGCCCACAAGCTCTGCGTAGGGACCACAATGCTCAAACGGCTCGTCAGGAAAGGGACCAGTAAGTCTGTGGTCAACAGCAAGAGGTGTGCGGTGTACTGTGGAGTGCTGAAGCTCAAACCACTAAAGGACCTACTACACCATTTGTGACTGTGAGAGTGTAATGGTGCGAGCGGCTCTGTCCCTGGTGATCTACAGGCCAAGGTAGTGGCGCACCTCACCAAGGTCAGTGCACATGTCTCTCTTTTGCAGTTCGCGCTTCACGTCAGCCAAGGCAACCCTGTCAGTAGTGGCGAAAACAAGGATGTCGACGTAGACCAGTACAAAGAACGGTGTGGAGTCACGACGAACAAACCGAGGTCAGACAGGGTAGAACGAAGGGTGTCGTGCCACTCACAAGGAGCCTGACGGAGACCGTAGACCGGTCGCCTCAGCCTCCACTGGGTCCCAGGAGGGAAAGTACCAGTGAAGGCAGAGGGACGACGCAACCAGACCTCCTCATGTAGGCTACGCTGAAGGAAGGCAGTGGAGAAGTCGAGAGAGTGTAGCTCGTAGTCTCTCTGTGCTGCTACGTGCAGTAACACCCGAAGAGTGGTCATCTTCGGGGTAGGTGCGAAGGTCTGAAAGAAGTCAACTCCCTTGCGCTGACTGAAACCTCTAGCCACATAGCACGCCTTGAAGACCAGAGGAGATTCCGGTGGCCGCTTACCCTGAAGATCCACATGTCATCGACTACGTTCGCCCCAGGGGGGGGAACCTTGTCGATGTAAGTGCCTGTGGATGTCTAGGAGGCCATCTCTGAGTCCATGGCAGCTCTCCACTAAGAGGCCCAAGGCCCTGACACTGCCTCAACGTAAGTGCGAGGAGTCGGTATGTCAAGGGCGTCGGGATTTCCCTCAGGAGCGAGCAGCATGGCACAGAGATGAGGGGAAGTGGCTGCCAGGAACTCTAGCTCAAACTGCCTGTCCTCTAGGGACTCACCCATGACGGCCAGAAGACTGGTAGGAAGAGCAGCCACAAGACTGGTGGCGTAGTCAAGGCGGCAAGTAGAGACAAACTCAGTGCCTGCAGCAGTAAGAGCGGAGACAGAGGACAGAGAGGGACATATGTTGGTAACAAGAGAGGCGACAACACGAGAGAGAACAGGACGGTGCATGCCGTAGTAGTCCGTGACAGGAGTAGAGAGGGAAGCAGTGAAAGCCGACTCAGGAGGAGAAGGAAGTACAGAAGGAGACGAACAAGGCGGACTAGAACGAAGATGGGCAGTACGAAGGTCAGAGAAGGGATCAGGGGACGAGGGACGAGCACGAGGAGAGCGACGCGAAGGCCAAGTGTGAGAAAGAGGAGGGGACAACAGAGGCAGAGAAGGAGGGAAAACAGCTGGGGAGGGGTCAGGAGGAGGAAGCGGAGGACCAGAGACGGGAGGAGAGGGGGAGGAGGGAGGAGAGGGAGAAACTGCTGCTCCTCCAAATGCGGCGGCTGCTGCTGCTCCTGCTGCTGCGGCTGCTCTTGCTCCGGCTGTTGCTACTGCTACTGCTGCCACTGCTGCTGCTCCGGCTGCTGCTGCTGCTGTTGCTGCTGCTGCTGCTGCTGCTGCTGCTGCTGCTGCTGCTCCTCCAGCCGCTGTAGCTCCAGCTGCTACCGCTCCAACTCTCTCTCCTCTCGCTCCAACTCCAGCTGCTCCTCACAGGCACGGCAAACACGGGCCTGGTGCTGGGTCGAGTACGGGTGGGGGGGAGGAGTAGTGTCTAGAGCGGTGGTAGCCCCAGGACCGCTCTCCAAAGAACCAGTCACACCACCCCCAGAGCCAGCACCACCAGTTGTAACAGGGCCCGTCCCAGGCTCTCCAGGTCCAGCAGAGGGTGCACCCCCAGCCGTAGCACCCACAGGGACAGCTCCACTAACACCAGCTCTCCGAAGACTAGAGTTTCCTGCAAGCACGGGCTCAGCTCCAACTCCAGCACCCCCAGAACCAGGACCTCACACAGGTACGCTCTCTGCTCCAACTCCAGCACCTCTAGAGCTAGCACCTCCAGGGCCCTCGCCACAAAAACAGGCTCCCGCAGGGTCTGCTGTAGGCTGGGAGGAGGACTGCGGGGAAGGAGGTTGCACCTGAGGGGCTACCGAGAGGGGAGGGGTAGCATGGAGGGGCGGGACCACGGGGGGGAGGCTGTACTGGGGGAGCAGGAGGGGGAGCTGAAGACAGGAAGAGAGGGGGAGGAGGAACAGAGAGACCTCGACAGGGGTACCGGGTGTAGTAGGGGACCGACTCGACAAAACGAACGTCGTGGGAGTCAAAGAACTGGTGAAGGGGAGGGTGGTAAAAGGTGAAGTCAGAGGAGTCCACGGGGAAACCAAGGAAGACACAGGGAAGGGCGCGAGGGGAGAGCTTATCCGTGGAGGTGTCGCGAACAAGCGCCAAGCAGCCCCAGACACGAAAACGCGACGCAGCACCAAGGGACCCAGTCCAAAGACTGGTCGGTGAAGCCTCTGGCCGAGAGACACGTGGCCAGAGGTTCAGTTGGTGAGCAGCGTACCGAGCCGCGTAGGGCCACAGAAAATGGGGCGCACGGGCGTGGATCATGTAGGTGCGTGCAATCTCTATGACCAAGCCTATGCGGCGCTCAGCAACCCCATTCTGCTATGGGGACTCTGGAAGCGTCCAAGACTGACGGATGCCCTGCTCGCGACAGAATCCAGCGAGAATGCCAGAGCGAAACTCACCCCCACGGTCGTAGTGAAGACAGCTGACACGACGACCACGAGTGTCCGCAGTGGTAAGTAACCACCGGATCAGCGTAGAAGTCACCTCAGACTTCTTCGCCAGGGGGAACACTGTGGTGTACCAAGATTAGTCGTCAACGACCACCAGAAAGAAACTCTCTCGCTCAAGGCCAGGGCGAGGGGCGGGGCCCCAGACGTCCAAGTGGAGAGTTTCGAAGGGCTCGGTGGCCGGACGAAGGGAGGAGGAGTGAGGGGTGGCGCGCAGCCGACCCTCAACGCAGGGACCTCAAGGTGGTGCAAGCGAAGGCAGCAGAGACGGCAAGACTTGCGAGAGGCCTAAGACAAGACGCTGACTAGACATAGTGCGCAGGCGAGGAATGGACGGGTGCCCCATCCGGTGGTTCCACAGAACGGTGGGGTGGGCAAGTGACCGGTAGGAGCACGACGCAGCAACTGGACCAGACACCGGAACTGGACCAGACACAGCTACCTGAGGAGATGGGGCAACCTGGTGAGACGCGGGAACCTGACGGGGGGCAGTGACTGGGGTCGGGTGCAGTGGCTGCTGCTGCTGGTGCTGTTGCTGCTGCTCTTGGGGGCTAGTGTGAAGTGTGTAGAGACGCGGGCGGGCGCGTAGGGCAGGCGCGGCAAGCGCTTAGGGCAGGCCCGCGGCGGGCGCAAGGGTCAGGCGCGGTGGGCGCTAAGGGCAGACGCGACGGGCGTTAAGGGCAGGCGTGCGGCGGGCGCTAAGGGCAGGCGCGCGGCGGGCGCTAAGGGCAGGCGCGCGGCGGGCACTAAGGGCAAACCTGCTGGCGGGCGGCGGACGGGCGTACGAAAGGGCGCTACTGTAGCGCTACAAGACAGGACGGGTGAGGCGCGTGAGGCTCGGGAGGCTCGAGCAAGAGGAACGGGATCCTATAGGATCCTAACCTAGGTGATACCATGTCAGAAACTGAATTGTGTGTTGCATTGATGTGGGTTGGGGTACATATGCCTAACCCTAACATTTGTACCTCACAAGACAAGCCTCACTACAGGCTACAACATTTGATGTCAAACTATATATGTGTTAGTTCTGTGTAGGCTATAGTGGAGTAGCTCATATGGGGTACAACCCGAAGTTAGGGTTGGTACTTGTACCCACATTTCATTCAATGCAACCATTCCTGCTTGCTATCTTAACATGGTTTCAGAGCAGTAGGTCCGTAGGACCGTTTTTCTTTCGGGCCCACCATACTTGGCTTCCGACTGCGATTACCGCGTTACCCCACTACCCTGCATCGCGCTGCCCCACGCACACCCTGCCTTG